TGTGTGTGTGTGTGTGTGTGTGTGTGTACACATTTTTTCTTTTATATTTAACTAGGACAAACTTTGCTAATGTATCGATATTCATAATCTTCCTCTTCCCTTTATCATCTAGGGTGGGAGGATTCCTGTTTTCTGGGTCTTCTAGAAAATGACTCATCAAAGAGAATCCAGTTAGGAGACAAGCAGAGAAAACTGGAGAGGCCAGGAAGGCTGAACTAAGATTAGCATGGACCCATGATGAGAGGGACGGTGTGATCCTTGGGCTAGAAATCTGCAGTGGACTTTGAGATTTGAAAAGTGAGAACAGGAGACAATGTATTGGGGGATGAAAGGCCAGCAGTAAAAAGAATGCCTGGAACCTGGTATTTTTCCAGTACATGCTTACTTATTGTAATGAGTGAACCAGTGAATGATTAAGTAAGTAACAGAGCTGCTTGGCAGTGGCTCCTGAAAGCGAGAGTAAGAAAGCATATCCTTAAGAGACTTTGTAGTGTATAAAACACACGTTAGCTGTTTCCTTAGCAGACCTAAGTGGTATAGAACTTGATTAATTCTACAGAGTAAATGAGGGTCATTCTCAGGGATTACAACCACAGGGCTTGTGCTGTATATGGGTTACATCTTGATGGACAAGTACACTATGAACACTATGAAAAGCAAATCATCAAGGCAAATGAGGCACACACCATGACACCAAGGATGTCACAAACAAATGGACTGGTAGTAATGTTTATCTCACTTTGCCAAGAAGTGAAAGAGTATAGTGTTCAGATGCTTTGAGAAAAGAACTATTAGCTTTGCCTGAGAGTCAAGGAAATTCTGAATCAAGGGGTATGTGTGAGAGCAATATAAGCAGAGAGCACCAGTCTGGTAAGGCAGGGACAAAGAGGAGAGATTAAGAAAAGCTGAGTTCAATTAAAGGAGCCAGTGCTAGAGGTAGCTGACCTGGGTGCTAAAGGGCTACCGATTCTGTTAGAGTTTGATCCTGTAGGTCTCCCTCAGGCCCCTGTGTTGAAGGCTTCAACTGAATCCCATGACAATATTGAGGGTGATGGACCCTTCGGTAGGTGAATTACACTGGAAAGAAGTTGTATCTTTGAGAACATACTCTTTAAGGGGGTATGGGGGCAGGGCGATGCAAACCTTTAATCCCAGCACTCAGGAGGCAAAGGCAGGTAGAGATCTGTGACATCAAGGCCATCCTGGTAGAACGAGTTTCAAGACAGCCAGGGCTACAGAGAGAAACACTCTTGAAAAAACAAAAGCTCTCTCTCTCCACTATGCTCTCCTGTTGTGACATACTCTAGTGTCACTGGCTCGAAATAATGAGCCACCCTACTATAAACTCAACTCTCCCAAACTGTGACACCAAACAAATTTTTCCTCTTTCTAAATTACTTGCCTCGTATTTTATCACAGCAACCCAAGAGCTACGTCTGGAAGCATTGTGTGCTTCTAGCTGCTTGGTGTGTGTGCTCACCAATCAGGGCAATAAAGACAATTTTCAGTAAATCAAGAGTAAAACAATTCTCCAGAGGCAACCACAGGATGTTGAAGCTTGGCCCTACCTCCAACTGGAATGCCAACCTTTAAGGCATTTCTGGTCCCATTTATTTCCGCTCTGCTTGCTAGCCCCAAAGAAAGACCTAGAAAAATCACAACCAGCTCCAAGAATCCACTAAAGATATGGCACACAAGAAACAGTGATAAATAAAAGCAGTAATGATAATTGAAGCATAGAGTTTGCCTAAACAATGAGTGACAATGGTTGAATACATCTCAGATATTAAATAAGAAATATCTGTCACACAAAAAAGGCATACAATGTAGTTGGTTTTTTATTTTTATTTTTATTTTTTACTCTTTGGGGGCCTGCCACCCAGCTCCCAAATAATGTATGGGAAATTATTCTTGCTTATGAATGCCCAGCCTTAGCTTGGCTTATTTCTAGCCAGTTTTTCTTAACTTAAATTATCCCATCTATCTTCTTCCTCTGGCCTTTACCTTTCTCTATTTCTATATACCTTTCTTCACTTCTTACTCTGTGGCTGGCTGTGTGGTTGGGTAGCTGACCCATGGTGTCCTCCTCTCCTTCTTCTTTTCTGGTTCCTCACTCCTCGCTCCTCTTGAACCTAGATTTCCCCCCCTATTTATTTTCTCTGCCTGGCAGCCCTGCCTGTTTCTCTCTCCTGCCTAGCTACTGGCCGTTCAGCTCTGTATTAGACTAATCTGGTGTTTTAGGCAGACAAAGTAATAGAGCTTTACAGAGTTAAATGCAGCATAAAAGAATGCAACACGTCTTTGCATCACTAAACAAATATTCCATAACATAAATGAATGTAATACAT